CAGATCAACGTGTGATCGTCAACCAGTGGATCTCTGAGCTGAGCGAGTGAGTGGAGGCGGGGCTCATTCGCATATTCAGAGAACCGCGCATACTAAATGAGGCAAGGGTGTCGAGTTACATTCAAGATATTTTAAGGGAAAACGCTTAAATGTAATTTTGGTGATCAAAGATGAGTTTTAAGGGATATTGGAACATTTAAGGAACATTCTGGAACGTTATTTTTGAATGTTCTCTGAAGCAAGTAGTAACATTTAAAGCGAACATCGAACTAAAACGTTTCAGAAAAAAAGTTCCATGAATAATGTTTTTGAGAACTTAAAGACCAGATATTGTCGAATGAATGTCCTATTGACATTACTGGAAGAAAGTTTGTTCATAACTGTCATAAGTTCTGAGAACATTCCATGTTTGAGGGCACATGACGTCAGCTAGAAGATCATATTCATATTTTAATAATCTTTTGAAGTGTTGATTTGTGTCATACAGGGTGTGTCAAACGGCACTTAAGATTCTAGACCAAATAAACATCCCAGAATCTGTCAAATCCATTAATAATACTTACTGATGTTTATTCTGTGGTTTTCCCTCCAAAATGATGTCACTTCCTGCAGGATGATGTCATTCAACCAACTGATTTTTACACAGGACTGACAGGATGGAAAGTTATAGGGACAACTTTTAAAAGAAAACATGCTTAAATTAAAAGAGTTAAATAAAACAATTTTCCGAGTTTTTCCACGTTAATGCAGAACCTGAGATCGAAATCCAGTCAAACCAGAGCAGAGAGACGATCTCACGTTCACCTCATTGGGATTAAAGACAAGTATATGCTCTAATCTTTGTAAATTGTGAGTTTAATATTTTGTCCAGTGTATTCAGACATGTATGAAGCACAGGAGGAATCACTCGTCGGCCTGAAGACAGCTTCTGGTTCTCTGGGTTCTTCACTGGCCGTCTGGTGTGAATAACTTCCGGTCGGCTTACAGGATAATGACACTCATCCACAGAGAGAGATACATATTTCATATCCGTAAACGGATGATTTCACTGACACCATATCAGAAACACACACCATGGAGACATACTGGAGTATCAAACACACTCTTACAAATAAAGCTTGACATCAATGAAACTTTCAAAAGGTCTTTATAGTGGGAAAAGGTTCTTTAGATTTTTAAATGTTCTTCACACTAAGAAATATAATAATTCTTTTAGAAACTGATCACTGAAGCTTCATTTTGAAGAGTGTGTTTAACGAGACAGAGTCGGACACAGTACTAGCAGTTTGAGATGGTGCTTGCTATTGTTTCAGTTGCATTCAACACATTTATTAATTAGCAGAATCTGATTGTTCTATTAAAGGCAAATGGAGACAAAATGACTGAATTAACTAGGGAAGCTTTAGAAGAGTTTAAAGTTATATTTTAAACACCTAACAAAGACAAACTCCCACACGAGCGTCTGTTCATTAACACCACAAGCTGTTCATGGATCAAACTGCGTTCTGTTCAATTCACAGTTGGAATTTTCATGGAATAGAACAACACTTGAAGTTCCAATCGAAATAGAACAACACTAAAAGTTCCAATCAAAATAGAACACTTGAAGTTCCAATTAAAATAGAACAACAGATGAAGTTCCAATCAAAATAGAACACTTGAAGTTCCAATAAAATAGAACAACAGATGAAGTTCCAATCAAATAGAACACTTGAAGTTCCAATCGAAATAGAACAACACTAAAAGTTCCAATCGAAATAGAACAACACTTAAAGTTCCAATCAAAATAGAACAACACTTAAAGTTCCAATCAAAATAGAACACTTGAAGTTCCAATCAAAATAGAACACTTGAAGTTCCAATTAAAATAGAACAACACATGAAGTTCAATCGAAATAGACAAAACTTGAGGATCCAATCGAAATAGAACACTTGAAGTTCCAATCGAAATGGAACAAAACGTGAAGTTCCAATTGAAATAGAACAACACATGAAGTTCCAATTGAAATAGAACAACACATGAAGTTCCAATCGAAATAACTGGTAACAGTAATAGTGTGCACTGTAATTGTTAGTCAGTGCATATTCAACTGACTTGTTTCAGATCACACAAACACTCTAGTACCAAATTAGTCATTAAAAACCATCGGTTTTAACTCTAAACTCTTGTTTCCTCAGAAGTTACTTGATTTTTTTTTCTCATTCAAACATCTGGTTTTGGATTGAACGCAGCATTGCTTCCCTTGGGCCGCTTTAAAGAGACACTGTTGATTAATCTTTCATTAACTGACCCCAAAACTCTAGCGTCTCATGATATTTTAAATATACTGTAATGGATATTACATTTCAGACAGTACTGAACTACATGAACCACTGTGCTTGCTAACTAACGTCTGGATTTGACTCATGGTTCGTTTGAGTTCATTTAAGTAAAAAAAAAAAAGTAAAAACTGAGAGCATACAAGTGTAAGTCAACATCTCAAAAATGCAAACATAAATATTTCCCACACAAGCAGGGAACATTTCAAATGAGATATTGCTATCAAGTCAATTTCTAAAAATAATCAGTAATTTGGTGGTTAAAAAAAGTGCAAGTAGACGACAGTATAAAACATGCTGCTCAGACAGCCAAACTTCACCGATAAACGAAACATCCACGAATATTCTACTACTGGAAGTATAAAGGAAATTTTTTAATCTAGTGGAGCATAGCTGTGCTATCATGCTGAAAGTCTGAGACTTACTTCCCATCTGGTTTTTGCTTGTAGTTCCTTGAGGAAACAGTATTAAACACTGACCTTTGGGTCTAACATATTAACAACATTTCAGGCAATGTTTGCTCTCTTTTGAGTACTTTATGAAGACCATCACTGCTCATAATGTCACTGAAATTACTTTTAAGGTGCGGTAGCATTTAGCGTTGTTTAGCGAATTTACACAAGTGGAAATCCAGCCATTTCAATAGGAATCTACGCGAGGGCGAAATATTTCGCAACGGTCTGACCATCAGAAATCTGCTTGGTTTAAAGGAGTTTCTTGTGTGAGCTGTTCTTCATACATCGCTACAATAGCAATGGAGGATGAACCTTTTTTGCCAAACAGACTTTGCTGAAATTAGAGTAGAAATGTACAATAACTAGAATTTAACTGTAGAAATTTGTGGCCCTATGTGATGGTCCTAGACAATGTGAAATCCATGTGGGGAAATTTCAAATCGAGTCAATTCCCATTGAAATGACTGGATTTCGCTTGTGAAATTCGCTGAAATTACTTTCTAAAGGACCATCAAATGGACAGAGTAGAAATGTAACTAGAATTTAACTGTAGAAATGTGTGGCCTATGTGATGGTCCTAGACTTTACCGATGTGAAATCCATGTGGGGAAATTCCAAATCGAGTCAATTCCCATTGAAATGACTGGATTTCGCTTGTGAAAATTCGCTGAAATTACTTTCTGAGGACCATCAAATGGACATAGTTGCAGTTTAAATACAATTTACCTGTAGAAATATAATTAGCCTTTATTGAGGGTTGCACTTTGGCCTTTGTGATGGTCCTCGAGTCAACCAATGTAAAATCCATGTGGGGAAATTCCCAATCGCGTCAATTCCCATTGAAATCACTTGGGAAAATTCTCTAAACAAATTTCCCCAATGTGACCATACCTTTAGCTTCCTCTCAGCCAAGAGTCTCAAGAGCGAATCCCCGAGTTAAATTTCTACACTGTCCATTTCCACATCCTCTAAAGTAGTGTCCGATTGAGAAACCATTATGAGTTTTTGTTTCTTTGAGTATTGTCTGACCACGCCGCTCTCCTCTTGGTCCGTCTGATTGTGGTCCTTTTCCAAAACCTCAACAGAACTCCCATGACTAAACATGGCATTGTCCGTGGACTCGAAGGACTCGCCGCCAAGACCCTCGAGTTTGGTGTAGCCCCCGCCACCGAGACCCTCCAGTCGAGGGCAACTGAGACGCCTCGATCGCACCTGCCGGTCCGTAGGAATACACGAGATATCCAGATCAATAGACCTGGAGTAGTCCGATAAAGCGCTTAAAGACAGGTGAGATCCTGTGGTTTTGCGGCCCGGAGAACACGGTGGAAGCAACTGAACCTGCGATCCCTGCAAAGAAACTCGAGGAGCTCCTTGCAAACTTCCAATACTCCTATAAACCTCCACCGAGTCCTGCGCAAGCTCTGGGTGACTTTGAGCCGGTTCCACTTTGGCCTTTGTGATGGTCCTAGACGCAACCAGATCCTCCAAACGTCTACAAATGGCCTCGGCGTCCAAAAACTCTCTCTTGGCTTCTCCCGTTTTATCCGAACCCCTTCTTTCGGACGCTCCCCGGTTGTTGAGCTTCATCATTGGCAGGGTGAACGCATTGACTGAAGTTGATACGATTGTTCTGGTTTCCCATTGTTTGAGCTCAGGTGGGATTTGTTTCTGGTCTTGATAGATGCTGTAGACCGTGTCCGTAAAGCTCTGTTTGTCCAAAGAAGAAACTCGTGGGATTGTGGTCGACAGACGTCGGGATGGGATCGTGCTACTCGCGTCGTGTCGACCGGAGCCTGGAGAAGGCCAGGAGACTTTATTCGGGGATTTGTTCTCTTTCGATTGGCAGTAGTTCACGAAACCGTTCAGCGGCCCGGACTCCTTGCTCCGCAAACTATGAATGTCAATCACCGTTGAGTAGATGTCTCTTAGATTAATGATTTTGGTCTTTTTGTCTCTGTTTTCGTGAAGTACTGCATTCGCACAAATGAATAGGAAGATCCCGATGCCCATGATTAAAGGTCCGAACACCTTCAGCTTGTCGGAATACAAATATCTCTTAATAAACGTAGCAAATGCTCCAAGCTTAGCCGAATGCACCTCAGCCGTCCCGTTGGACCCATTATAGCTCCTGAAGACTTTATCTAGTAGATCCCATCTGACGGTCACATTGACTAACTCTCGGCTCTCGTAAGTCCTCTGAGCGCTCGACGTGTTCATCAATCCCGGATACGGCGGATTGGGTTTGGGCCAGTATCCCATCACAGCCATTGCGACGCCAACCAGTAGCACCAAAATCCCAATGGCAGCGACCAGTCCAGATATGGAACACAGCTTGAGCTTTCCTTTAACCACAACCACTTCGTTCTTCCTCTTTTTCTTTGCTTTCCTCTTGCGCTTGTTTTCGGCGCGGTTTTTCGCGCGGAGGGAGTCCTGTCGCCGGGAAGATATTCGCAGAAGACCCCCAGTGGCAATCATGATGGCGCTCAATTAATCATCCTGGAAAAGACGGGAAGAACATGACAACATTAGTGTGGGCTGGAAAAGCCATGAGAACTAGACACTTACTCACTAAATCTATCATATAGCATGTGCATTTACAACAAATAATAATAATAAATGCTAAACACAAACAAAAACACATAAATATATACGTACAGTACACACTACCAGTGAAACGTTTTACTGTTTCTGAAAGAAGTCTCTTCTGCTCAAGGCTGGATTTATTTGATAAAAAATACAGTAAAAATTATGAAATATTATTACTATTTAATATAGCTGTTTTCTATGTGAATATATAGTAAAGTGTAATTTATTCCTGTGATCAAAGCTGTATTTCCAGCATCATTACTCCAGTCTTCAGTGTCACATGATCCTTCAGAAATCACTCTAATATGAGGATCTGATGCTCAAGAAACATTTCTGATTATTTCATGTTTCTGGAAACTGTGATACATTTTATTTTTCAGAATTCTTTGATGAATAGAAAGTTCAAAAGAACAGCAATTATTTGAAATATAATCTTTTGTAACATTATAAATGTCTTTACTATCACATTTGATCAATTTAAACAATTATTTTCGACATTAATAATGTTTCTTGAGCATCAAATCCTCATATTAGAGTGATTTCTGAAGGATCATGTGACACTGAAGACTGGAGTAATGATGCTGAAAATACAGCTTTGATCACAGGAATAAATTACACTTTACTGTATATTCACATAGAAAACAGCTATATTAAATAGTAATAATATTTCACAATTTTCCAGTATTTTTAATCAAAGAAATACAGCCTTGGTGAGCAGCAGAAGAGACTTATTTTTGTTTATCACCCTTTTTCAATGAATGTCACACACCAGCATTTGCCGCGCTCCTATTGGTTCTTCATTAGATGGACGTCCCAGAAGCTCATTTATCCTGATGAAAGCTCAGTCAAATCTGGAAGGCTGAACACGAGAGAGTTTGAACACAAAGCAGGCGCGGCGAAGCTTCGTCTCGGGCGAGTGTTCATCGGGATCTCCGGCACACGGAGTGGGAGCGAGACGCTGGATCCTGCAAACACCATAAGGATAGTGTGGGTTAATGCAGCACAAACACACACAGCGATCACTCACACATGACTAAAAGAAGAACAGAAGCCGTGTGAGACGGAGACAGATGATATGATTCACTTCAGACTCCAAACAGAAAGATGAAAAGCATCTGTTTTTTCTGTTTGGTGTTGATTTGACATAAAAGCTGATTCTGTCACGAACTGTGGGAACGAGAGTGAGCGACAGGCTAACAGGTTCAAGCATCTTGTTGCATGTATGATTACAGCTGAAAATATGAGTCCTAGGGGTGTAACAGTAAATCGTGTCACAATATATCACAATACAAAAAAGCTAGAATATGTATCGTGGATAACCCAAAAATAAAAAGTTTTAGTGTCAGTACTACATTAAACTACTATATATAATGTTGCAATGGGGGAATTGTTGGTCCTAATTATGACAAATATCTGATGTTACCAGTAAAAGTGGCCGACATTATTATAAATATATCTAGTCAGAGACAGAGATCAAGCATATTCATCTACAATAATCTGTGTTTTCAGCTTCAGAATCATGAATATTGTTATTCTGGTGTCTCTATTGTCTGTGCTTTGGGTTTCAGCACCAAGTCCATTCATTTACACACACAATGTAACACCAAATTTAGCATTTTAATCAACATTACATTTTATGTTAACCTTGTATCATATTTTGAGTATCATAATAATATCGTATCGTGATTTCAGTGTCGTGATATGTATGAATCGTGACATGAGGGTTTCGTTACACCCGCAATGAGTCCAAAAAAACATGAGGTCCGGTCCAGACAATAGATTAAATTAAATTAAATCAAATAACAATGAATTAAAGCTTTAAATTCATATGGGATTAAGTAAAGAAGTAACCAGTTGTGACATGTGACTGTATGTTGAGTCTGAATAAGTGATATCGCTTTGATGACGTGTTTACTGGCATGTGGGCGGGGCTATAACCTGTCACTCACATGAGATCAGCCAATAGCAAACCACAACCGTCCATTCAATCCCGAAATGGACAAAAGCCCCGTCCTACATTTGTTCTTGTTCCAGAAGCGCTTCACTCGGATATACTGTCAAACCAAACATTATCCAGACACCAGATATCTTTTTTTTTTTTATTACTAGTGTGATCAGGACACTATAGTTCATTTATGTAAGTGAGGAGACCAAAATAAAGTAAACTGTGACATATTATACCCAAATATTCTTCATACCAGTGACTATCAGTAAAATTTATTGAGCTGATCATGTTCTGCTGAAGTGTGTTTTCTGTAATTGCTAATGCTCTTTTTACACACACACTGAACAACATGAAGCATTGCTTGGTCACTGGTTGAGCTAAACTGGTATTATCTAATTGTGTAGTTAAATTTAACAGCTGACAGATATTCAACATAATTCATGTGTGAGAGTCTAACAGAAGGACGGACAAAACCAGTCAAATATCATATTTCTTGTCATATATTTTCTAAACTATAGCGAATAAACTGTGATAATGTGAGAAATGTTGAAGGAGTCTGAATGAATTCTGGTTCGACTGTATAACAGGGAAGAAAAGGCGAGAGCAACTTTACTTTCATGGCGACTGTCGTTCTAAATAAACTTCCAAAGATGAATTACTTTAGTCTTTCTCAAGGATCTCACAGCCTCATTAAAGTGTGTAGAAACTGTCCAGCCCCAACACCGGTATATATAACACACTGTATGTTTATTTCATATTCTTAATCAAAACAAGACTTTGCAGTTGCCTTCGTGAACCCATCTACAGTTCTGCAGAATAATTTATGGCACCAATTAAATCTTTATATTGTCTTCCAGAGGAAAATACAGATTTGAGTTTCCAGGGTTCATTAGCTCTGAATCATCAGGGGAGAAAAAAGGAGAAAAGTGAATTCGTTTCTTTCTGCAAACTCACTGAATGTCCATTTCTCTTTGCCACTTCCCGCTTATTGAAGTCTCTCAACACATTAGATAGACATTGATTTAACATGAATCAGCAGATACGACACGATAATGACCCTCCGAGGCTTCATAAACGCGACGAGAGTAAACATGAAGCTTGTAATTACATGTTCTCGTCAGTCATGAATCTCTCAGCCAGTAAACAGAATAACAGAGTTGACTTTCATCGCTACGATTCTAGAAAACACGTGATTTAACTCGCTAACGTCGGGTGAATTTTATCTCCCTCAGTATTTGGCATCTGATGACGTCCCACTAGATCCACAACACGGTCAGGAAGAATATTCACTTTCCCTCCTGTCACCAAACACATCAGCAATGAGCGATTATGGACCTGCACTAAATGTAATACTTAAAGTTTATGGCTGGTCAATCAGTGGAAACGCACCGCTGGTCTTTAAATCAAGACAAATTCACTTGTATAGCCCATTTCACAATACATACACTTTCAAAGCAGCGTTTATGTTTATAATATCTTCATGCCTTTTAGTTGCATTTAGCAGATTAGAGCCGTGCGACAATATGGTTGCATTTTACGATGATAAACACAATCAGTTGAGATTTTATAAATAGTATATGTTGCTTTACACGAGTGTACTGTATGTATGCAGATAATGTTGGATATACTGTATATATGCAACTTTATAAACAGAACTGGCCGACTATAGTAACATTTTGTGATGAAACTAAAAAAAAATCAGGTGGTTTAGATTCGCTATATAGTTGAGCATATATAGCTTTATTTGAGTATGTAAATGCGAATACAGACGATGGGCAAGTTCATATGGCTGAAGCTCATGAATATTTAATGACATAAATATTCAGATATTCATGAACATTCTGGTAGCACCGCATTATTTCCCTGGAAACCTTTATCACCGGAAGTCAGTGTTAAGAAATGCAGAAAAAACCATTGCTAATTGGATTAAAAAGATTTCTACTAGAGTAAATGCATTACATTAGCCTGGGAAAACCCAGACAACTTCCGGCAAATTTAGGTTTGCTCTGAAAGTTAGTCTGGCGAAGAGCTCATTCAAGCCCATTTCCAATCCGTCGAAATCGAGGCACCAATCAGAAGCGTCGGGGCGGGCTTTACACGATGACGGCAGCGCTGGGATTTTGAAGCAGATTTTGTAGCCTACATTACAAAGATGGATGCCGCCGTCGAACATCACTCGTTCCAATCAGCTATCGCGTCTGTTTTAAGCCATTTGAACGTTTCCTTTTAGTTAAAAACCGAGCAAAGAACAACACTCGGAGATGTGTCTCCGCCGCTCTGCATACGCCATCTCCTTCAGCGCTCTGATTGGGTTTAGGTCTATCCGCGACGTCCGTTGGTGACGCCCCTCTGGAAATGATTTGTCTATGACGCTTTGCCAGACCATAACTCAGTTACAACTGAGAATGGTCTGGTTTTAACCAGGCTAGCATTACATGGATCTGCGGTCAGTCATTATTGGAACATCTTTATGTTACGTCTCATAATGTATATATTCAGATTGGCTACAAACAAATGGCTTTCCTCCATCTTCATCTCTTCAGTGTGTGATGTTGCTCCAGTTCTTCTCTATATCAGTGTCAGTGTTCCTGAACTCCTGAAATGCCTCCATTGTAGTCTTGAGTTTCTTTCGGTAACAAACACGTCACAATATTCCTCATTATAATAATTCATACGCAGAATAAAGGGGCGTGGCCTGGTTGAGTTAGTTAGTAGTGTGTTAAACTGGCGGTTATGGAAAGGGGCGGGGCATTTCCCAAACACACTCGAAGCGCTCGACCAATCACAACACACTGCTCCAGCCGACCAATCAGAGCACAGTGTGCTTTTCAGGAGGAGGGGCTTCATAGAGACAGGAAGTAAACAGAGCGTTACTGACAGACTGGGAAGAGAGGAGCCGCAACAATGGAGAATATGAGGAGAATAATCAACATTCAAGCAGGAAAACCTGTTCTAGTAGAGCCTGAAACATCATCAAGACTGGGAGGGCATAATAGGTCCTCTTTAACACTACAACACACAGATGCTGACATTACAAAACAAACTGCTTTTAAGAAACAAGGCTCGCAGACTTCTGTGTTGGCACTGCTTCTATATTTCCAACCACAAAGATTTATAGATTTGATGAATTCCTGAGAGTGTTTGGCAATGAAAGACTCCACGTTTAATCAAATAAAGCTGAAAACGCTCTGACAGTCCAGATAAACAGAAGATCACGCAGGCCGCGCGAGTTCAAAGGTGTGTGCGAATCCCTTCACATCAAAGCAAACAGCAGATGATCCGTGCGAACAGACAAACGAGCGGCGGGATCCACAGAGACTTCACACATTAATTGACATCTCAAACACGGGCGAGAAGGATTTATGGATCACAATGACCTTTACATTCATATCTGAAGGGCTGGATGAAGGCCAGCGGAGATGAAAATAAACATCATGAGGACAAAACACAAAATGACAGCGTTCGCGCAAGACTGTCAGAATGAATTTGCGTGTAAAACTAGCTGCAGTAAAGAGACGAAGCTGAAATATGATTTCCATCATCATGCAGTGCAGAGAAACATAAAGGTAATGGAGCTAGAAATGACGGCTATTACCATCCGAGACACGGGGCGCACAAGTCAACAAATAACATTTTCCCAAGCATATGCTGCTGACATTCATTTATGGGCGGAAAACGAATAATATGCTGTTCAAAAAGGCAAAATCCATCCTGCTTTTCCTCTAGATTTGGTTTATACAATGTGTGAGTTGCAGTCTTGCCATTTACAATCAATTAAGCTCCAAGAAACTACAAACTAGATTAGCTTTGGATCACCTGTGTTGAACAACGCCTCCATTACTGAACTCACTGCTATTGACATGTTTAATTGAAACTAATGACTGCGAGGGACAGATGCAC